ACTCCAAGGACCACCCACACCTCCACAACGCTAACCACCACGGCCACCACAACCCAGGCCACTGGCTCCACGGCCACCCTCTTCACCTCAGGAACAGCTCACACCTCTAAAGTGCTGACCACCATGGCCATCACCACAAGCTCCACGGCCACCCCCTCCTCCAGCCCAGGGACTGCAAGCACCCTTACGGCACTTACCACAACCACCACACCCACAACCAGCGGCTACACAGTGACCCCCTCCTCCATCCCAGGGACCACCCACACCCCCACAGTGCTGACCAACACCACCATAACTGTGGCCACTGGCTCCATGGCAACACCCTCCTCTAGCCCACAGACCACTGGTACACCCCCAGCACTGGCCACCACGGGCACGACAGTCACGGCCACAGGCTCCACCACCACCCCCTCCTCCACTCCAGGGACAACTCCCATCTCTCCAGTGCTGACCACCATGGCCACCACACCTACAGCCACCAGCACCACAGTGGCTCCCTCCTCTGCCCTAGGGACCACCTATACACCCCCAGTGCTGTCCACCACGGCCACCACACATGGGCGATCCCAGCTCCCCGAGAGTCCCCGCACGGTACCCACAGCCCGGACTTCCATGGCCACCTCGGGCACCACCCACATCACAGAGTCATCCACGGTGACTTCCCACACCCCAGTAGGAACCACCGGTACCACCCCACACTCAAGTCCAGCCCTGTCCAGCCCTCACACTCACAGCAGAACCACTGAGTCACCCTCTTCTCCAGGGAAGACCACCCTGGGCCTCACCACGGCCACAACCAGTGAGACCCACACCTCGACCCTGCTGCCCAGCAGCCCCACATCGGCCCCCATGACCCCGGTGGTATCCACGGGCTGTGAGCCCCAGTGTGCCTGGTCAGACTGGCTGGACTACAGCTACCCCATGTCGGGGCCCTCTGGCGGGGACTTGGAGACCTACTCCAACATCCGCGCGGCTGGAGGGGCCGTCTGTGAGCAGCCCCTGGGCCTCGAGTGCCGCGCCCAGGCCCAGCCTGGTGTCCCCCTGCGGGAGTTGGGCCAGCTCGTGGAATGCAGCCTGGACTTCGGCTTGGTCTGCAGGAACCGTCAGCAGGTGGGGAAGTTCAAGATGTGCTTCAACTACGAAATCCGTGTGTTCTGCTGCAACTACGGCCGCTGCCCCAGCACCCCGGCCACCAGCTCCACGGCCACACCCTCCTCCACTCCGGGGTCAACCTGGATTCTCACAGAGCCAACCACTACAGCCGTCACAACAGCAGCCACGGGCTCCACGACCATCCCCTCCTCCACTCCGGGGACCACCTGGATCCTCACAGAGCCAACCACTACAGCCATCACAACAGTGGTCACGGGCTCCACAGCCATCCCCTCCTCTACTCCAGGGACTACTCAAATCACTGAAGTTTTTCCCACCACAACCACAATGACTGCAGCCACTGGCTCCACGGCCAACCCCTCCTCCACCCCAGGAACCACCTGGATCCTCACAGAGCCAACCACCACTGCCACCATAACTGTGGCCACTGGCTCCAAGGCCACGCCCTCTTCCACTCCAGCATCAACCTGGATTCTCACAGAGCCGACCACTACAGCCATCACAACAGTGGCCACGGGCTCCATGGCCACGCCTTCCTCCACTCAGGGGACGACCGGGAGCCTCACAGAACCAACCAACACTGCCACCATAACTGTGACCACCAGCTCCACAGCCATGCCCTCCTCCACTCCAAGGATGACCTCAATCCTCACAGAGCCGACCACTACAGCCATTACAACAGTGGCCACGGGCTCCACGGCCACACCCCCCTTCACTCCGAGGACGGCCAGGATCGTCACAGAGCCAACCACCACTGCCACCATAACTGTGGCCACTGGCTCCACGGCCATCCCCTCCTCCACTCCAGGGATGACCTCGATCCTCACAGAGCCGACCACTACAGCCATCACAACAGTGGCCACGGGGTCCACGGCCACACCCTCCTCCACTCCAGAGACGACCGGGATCCTCACAGAGGCAACCACCACTGCCACCATAACTGTGGCCACCAGCTCCACAGCCATGCCCTCCTCCACTCCAGGGACGACCTTGATCCTCACAGAGCCAACCACTATAGCCATCACAACAGTGGCCCCGGGCTCCACAGCCACGCCCTCCTCCACTCCGAG